TTAAAAAATAAATTCTTCACCAGAGGAAGCTCTCCTTTTTCCTTAGTTTGTCAAAGGTTTTTTTTGTTTTGCTTTTAATCACTAACAGGTGTTGAATTTTATCAAATGCTTTTTTGGGGGGCATCTTTTGAGATAGCCATATTTTTCTTCATTATTTTGTCATTATTGATTTTCAAAAGGTAAACTAACCTTGTACTCCTCAAATAAACCTATTTGAGCAAGATATGTATTACCCTTTTCATACATTGTTGGATTTGATTTGCTAACATTTTCTTAATGATTTTTGCATTTATATTCATGTGTGATATTTGTCTTTTCTTGTCATGTTTTTGTCATGTTTTTGGTGTGAGTATTATACTGGTCTTATAAAACAAATTGAAAAGTGTTCCCTCTTCTTTGAAAGATTTTGTTAAAGGGCGCCTGGGTGGCTCAGTTGGTTAAGCGACTGCCTTCGGCTCAGGTCATGATCCTGGAGTCCCGGGATCGAGTCCCACATCGGGCTCCCGGCTCGGCAGGGAGTCTGCTTCTCCCTCTCCCACTCCCCGTTTGTGTTCCCTCTCTCGCTGTGTCTTTCTCTGTCAAATAAATAAATAAAATATTAAAAAAAAAAAGAAAGATTTTGTTAAAACTAGTATAACACCAGTGAAGCTCTCTGAACCTAGAGTTTTCTACGTGAAAGTGGTTTTAATTACAAGTTTAGTTTCTTTAACGGATAATGGTGATTCAGATTTTCTAATTCATTTGTTTGTTTTGGAAACTTGGGATTTTTAAAGCAATTTGACTATGTCATCTAAGTTTTTAAATTTTTTGGCGTATTGCTCATAATTTCCCAGTAATTCCCTTTAAATGTCTATAAGATCTAGTGATGTCTTTGCTTGTGTTCCTGATGTTGGTAATTTGTTTTTGGGCATTATTCTTTATTTCTCCTTCTCTGTCACTTTTCACATCTACACCATCCTTCCTGTTCCCATTTTAATTTAGAATGATGCCAAACTTTTCCTAGGGAGGCTGTAATAACCACACTTCCTGTTTACAATCTTTCTTCTGTGTCCCATTTACCATCTTTTAGGAAGAAAGATCTTTCTAAAGTACAAATGTAATTAAATCTTTTCTAGCTTAAAACTTTGATAATTTACTAATTCCTTCAGGAAAAAAAAATATATATATGCTCCTTCCTATGAAATATAAAGTCATCATTGATAAGGTATCTGTTTGTCTCAATAGGTACCTGTCTTTTCTTATATTTACTTCTCCCTTATTATCTCTGCCCGCAGACCATAAGGAAGTATACTGCCTTTCTAGAAGTATACTGCCTTTCTAGGGATTCTTCACCTAAAAACAGAATGCAGCATTTCAGATGTGATATGATCAATACTAAGACAAAAATTGTCTCCTAACTTCTCCTTTACTGAGACAGTTGTTAATATTTGATTGGTATGGTCTCAATATTTATTATTTATTTGACGTAATACCTTTTATTCAGTAGATTTTTATATTCACAGCACTATCTCACCCCAAAACATTATTTTAAAGCCCAGTTTCCATTTTACTGTTACCTCAAAGCATATTAAGTAATAGGGATGCGTCTATTTGCTCCAATCAGAGTACCACCTATCAGACAGCTATTTGATCCCTCCTCCTCAAACCCATGATAATGAGTTTATTTCAGCTTGGCAGTGTTAGTGTTGGTATTTGACCTGCCATCAGATGACTAGATGATGTGTATTTCTTTGTAGTATCATTTCATAGTTTGCAAAATGAAGAAACATTCCTCTGAAACTGTCTAGCTGGTTTGGAAGTAAAGCAGTTGTTTCTTTTCTTGTCAGTCCTTCATCTCCTCACCCCCAGGGGAATCAGGATGCCCCACGTTATATTTAAAAGCCTAAACACATCAAACTTTTATTCTTCTGTTGCGTTTGAAAGGGGGACGTTATTAGCTCTGTCTTGATGTAGCAGGGGCTCTGAAAGTCTATTTGGATAACACTGAAGATTGGAGGAAATGTGACTCTGTCTGTGTGTTTTAAGCCCCTAAGGTAAGATCAGAAAGCGTCTGGGGCAGTGAGAGCCAAATAGTTGAAGTCATACATTAATTATGGTCATGAATCATTTTTATTTTTAAAGTCTTTACCATTTGACAAGGTTGTTTGCATAGTACCAGTGAGTTTCAGGCAGCATTTTCCCCCTTTTAAAGTAACAGGCTATTTTGTTGATTTCTGCTCTGAGTTGATAATGCCTATTATTATTATTAGAATTCTGATAACTTTTTCAGTAAAAATTTCATGTTTCCTTACTTAAGTGAGTGGTCTTTATTTGATTTTTGTTTTGAATATAGTATTTTAAAGTTATAAATATAGAAAACTATCACCATAATTATTAAGTAATTTTTAAAAATTGAGGTAAAATTTACATACAGTGAAATGCATAGATCTTAACTTTAAATTCTGCATATAACTATGTAGCCATACCCCAATAAAGATATATAGGACATTTCCATCACCTCAGGGAGTTCCCTTTATTCCCCCTGTTTTCTGCCAGTCAGTCCCACCCCACATAGACAACTAGCAACTCTTGATTTCTGTTCCCATGGATTGCTTTTACCTGTTCTTGAACTATGTATAAATGGAATCATACAGTATACTTTTTGTTTCTGGCTTTTTTCACTCAACATAATGTATTCGAGATTCATTCATATTGTTGTGTGATTCAGTGTGTCTTCCTTTGTATTGATGAGTAGAATTTCATGATTATACCTCAGTTTATTAATTCTCCTGTTTGATAGACATTTGTGTTGTTTCTATGAACATTCTTCTACAGATCTTCTTGTGGACATATGTTTTTATATTTCTTGAGTAAATGCTTAGGAGTAGAAATACTGGGTCATAGGTTAGATGGATGTTTAACTTTATAAAAACTTTTCCAAATGATAGTACTCTTTTACACTTTTACCAGTAATGTGTACAAGTTCCAGTTGTTCCACATCCTTGCAGTATTAGGTGTTGTCATTTTAATTTTAGCTATTCTAGCAGGTGTGACATGGTATCTCCTTATGATTTTAATTTGCATTTTCATGATGACCAAGATGTCGAGTACCTTTTGTTATACTTATTGGCCACTCTTATGTCACCTTTGTGAAGAATTGTACTTTTTTGCCCATTTTTAATTGGGTGGTCTTTTTGTTACTGATTTATAAGAGTTCTTTATATACTCCAGATGCAGTCCTTTGTCAGATTGATGTTTTGCAAGTATTTTCTCCCAGTCTGTGGATTGCTTATCATTTTCTTAATGGCATCTTTAGATGAATGGACATTTTTTATTTTTGTGAGGTCCAATTTATCTATTTTTAATTTTATGGTTAGTGTTTTTCATGCCTTCTCTATGAAATCTTTACCTCCCCTGAGGTTTCAAGAGATTCTGTTTCTTCTACAAGTTTTATGATTTTAGGGTTTATGTTTACTGTGCTGTCCTTGAATTAATCTCATGTGCTGTGAGGTAGGGAATGAAATTAATTTTTCTTGCCTACATTTATCCAATGTTCCAGTACCATTTGTTTAGAAAACTTTCTTTTCTCCATTAATTTACCTAGGTTCCTTTGTCCAAAATCAATTGGCCATATATGTGTAGCTCTATTTATATAATCTTTACTCTGTTCCATTGATCTATGTTTTGATAGTTATGCTAGTACCATATTGTTTTGATTATGTAGTTTTATAAAAAAAAAAGTTTATCTTGGTTTTTCTCTTCTAGATTCTTTGTTTTTCTGTATAAATTACAGTATCAGCTTCTTAATTTCTTTCAAAAAAATGAAAGCCTTTTGAGATTGGAATTGTGATTGTGGAACAATGACCCCATATATAGAAATATAACAAATTTCTGTACATTGACCTTGTATCCTGTGACCTTATTAGTTTTAGTAGTTGTTTTGTAGATTACTAATGAAATTCATTTTCGGGGCGCCTGGGTGGCTCAGTGGTTAAGCGTCTACCTTCGGCTCAGGTCATGATCCCAGGGTCCTGGGATCGAGTCCCACATCGGGCTCCCTGCTTGGCGGGGAGCCTGCTTCTCCCTTTTCTGCTCCCTCTGCTTGTGTTCCCTCTCTTGCTGTCTCTCTTTGTCTGTCAAATAAATAAATAAAAATCTTAAAAAATATATTTAAAAAAATTCATTTTCATTATATGAAAATCATGACATCTAAAAATAAAGACAATTTGTGTGTATGTATAAGAAATATATAATCTATATTTGAAGACCAAGAGACTAAGAAAAACACAAACCCATAATGAAAGCAAAAAAGAAAAATAGTTCTTAATTTTTTCAGTGTTCCTTGTTTCAAAGTGGCTGTTGCTGCTATAACTGGGATTATTGTTAATTCTTTTTTTCTTTGTGTATCACCATAACTAATATTCAGCCTTGTTATCAGTGATGTTCTCCTGGTGACTTTAGCACTCCACTTAATTTCTCTGGGCCTCAGTTTTCACCTTTCTAACATGATAGGATTCAACCAGATTCTTTTCTATAAAAAAAAATATATATATATTTATCTATTTGAGAGAGAGACCATTGGGGGAGGGGCAGAGGGAGAGACTCTTCAAGCAGACTCCCTTCTGAGTGTGGAGCCTGACTGCGGGCTTGATCCCTTGACCCATGAGATCATGACCTGAGCTGAAACCAAGAGCCAGGTGCTTAACCAAGTGAGCCACCCAGGAGCCTCTCAGATTATTTTTCTAAGGTGTCTTCCAGACTCCTGTGAGTTCACCATTTTAACTCTCAATGTATCAGAGGTGGGCAGGCAGGCAGGCATAGAAAGGGTGTTTTTAGGATCCATAGTAATCCCTGTTTATTTCATTATAAATATGCTAGGGAATTATGAAATGATCAGTTTGAGTTGATTACTAGTTCTGCATATCCTGGAATGTTTGTCCTCATTTTGTTCCATTTATATTTGTTGCTCTGTGTTAAGAGTTTATAGTTAACTCAAATTTTTCTGCAACTTTTATTTCTAGGCTTCATAGAGCCCAGTGTGCAATTAAACAGACTCAGGTAACTGTTCAGAAAATTGGAAAGGAAATTGAAGAAAAGCTAAGGCTCACATCTACAAGCAATGAACTGGTAGGTTTTTAAATATGTTTACTTGTTTAGACTCCTTGATTTCTAAATGTGATTATCATATTCTTCTTATATTAATTTTTTTTTCAAAAAGCTTTAGGTAGTTATTTTTTCTCTTAATGTTTTGCTGAGACTTATGTTGGCATTTAAATGTTGGAAAACACTTTCCTATTTCCTAATAATCTAACATGCAAAGTGCCTGCCTTTTGCTGCTAGATGAAACTTTAGATTACATACAGTTACTTAGAAAATAATTAAAAGTTATTTTATTAATGTCTTACCAATGTGAACTCTAGACATGAACTATATATTGAATAAGAAATAGCTGCCAGAAGGAAAAAAAATTGGAGTCTAATCTCATTTTAAAACATGAATTTAGAGCTACCCTACAACCCTGCAATTGCACTACTGGATATTTACCCCAAAGATACAAATGTAGCGATCCAAAGGGGCACATGCTCCCCAATGTTTATAGCAGCAATGTCCACAATAGCCAAACTATGGAAAGAGCCTAGATGTCCATCAACAGGTGAATGGATAAAGAAGATGTGGTATATATATACAATGGAATATTATGCAGCCATCAAAAAAAAAAATGAAATCTTGCCATTTGCAATGACGTGGATGGAAGTAGAGGGTATTATGCCAAGTGAAATAAGTCAATCAGAGAAAGAGAAGTATCATATGATCTCACTGATATGAGGAATTTGAGAAAAAAGATAGAGGATCATGGGTAAGGGAGGGAAAAATGAAACAAGACGAAACTGGAGAGGGGGACAAACTGTAAGAGACTTTTAATCTCAGGAAACAAACTGAGGGTTGCGGGAGTGGAGGGGGGTGGAGGGGATGGGGTGGCTGGGTGATGGACATTGGGGAGGGTAGGTACTATGGTGAGCACTGTGAATTGTGTAAGACTGATGAATCACAGACCTGTACCCCTGAAACAAATAATGTATTATATGTTATAAAAAAAAAGAAATAAAAGATGAATTTAAAATTATTGGAGTGAACTTAATAGGTTGGTTTATGGACAGTGTTCTCTTTTGGGAAAGATTCCTTTAATGAGGCATTTCCAAAGAAATAGAAATTCCAACCCAAATGGACAGATTTAAAGTATTAGTATAATTTGGGGTTGCTTTATACTCTTTCTAGTGGAGAAAAAAAATATTAATTTTGGAATAAAGATTCTGCCTTTTTAAGCAGAATAGTAGGCATAACAAATAAATTGAACTTTTTTCAAAATGAAGCCACATGGCTTTTGATGAAATTTTTGTTATGGATTATGATAGTTAAAATATAATTCAAATCCTCAAATTAAGTCCTAACTGAAAAACTTTAAGTATTTATTTGTACAAACTCATTCTCATACATAGGCAGTATCTTCCAGTTGTCATTTATAGCACTATCAACTTAGGAGAAGACGTTTTAACCTCCAAACAAACATTTTGTATTATCTTGAAGATTTGCCCAAGATAGTAATTTAATAGATGAACTATGGAAACACAGTGCAGTTAACCACCAACACAGACTTCTTTCTCATGGAATTTGAAGTGAATGGATGATGATGTATTTAAACTATATAAAATTGCTGATTTTGACCCATAAATGGTAGTTTCATATAATTCAACCTGATGTATAAAGTGGCTAGTGCTGTACCTGACACAGAGCGGGCATACAAAATATGGTAGCTACAATAACTGTAGTAGTAATGCTTATCCATATGACTTTTCTTGCCTATGGAAAATCTTCTGTTTTGGAGAAGCTGTTAAACCACCTCTTGTTTTAACTCAGCCTCAGTAAAGGAAGAAAACCCAGACCACAAATATATTGGAAAAGGAGAAAAAGCAGCTAATTTTAAGCCTTTCTGTAGTGTACAGAAATGCCACATTTTTAGAACCTTTGTCCGAGGAGAAATTGCTAGGGTTTTTTATTTTCATCTCCCAAGGCAAGACTGGGAAATTACTTATTTCATTAAATGACAGCATATGTTTTGTCTCAGTATGGAAAAATGTATATGTTTAATCCTATTTTTCTAAAATATAAGTGGTGAAACACAGAGCAAGGTGATAGAATGTGTGAGTTTAAAGAGGTCAGGTTCAGAGGTTCACTGTGTGTTTTTACACTGCCTGGTCAACATAGAAAAGAATCGTTGATTTTTGAACTGAAAGTGAACCTAGACATCATCTAGTTCCCGTATAACTTCACTAAAACCAGCCCTCTTCAGTAGAGTCTGTCCCCTTCCCTGTTATATTTTTCTCCGTAGTATTTATTACCCTTTAACATGCCAGATATTTTACATATTTTATTTGTCTGTCTCTCTAAACTCTTTGTCTGTGTTTCTTCACTACTGTATTCACTAGTGTCTGGAAAGTGCTTAACACATAGTAGGTCCTCAATAAATATTGAGTTTAGGAATGAATCTAGCATGTTAAATAACAAAATTCAACCATGTAAATTTGAATATCTACTTGGCTTTTTCAAATGATTCGTGAATCAATGGGGCGACACCTCTTCTAGCAAGTAGAGAGGAGCTCCAAAGAGTCCTACAAAATGCAAGGTTTTTATAGAAGGAGGGTAGGGGCAAGAAAGTTATTAACAAAAGAAAAGGATCGGTTCAGGCAAGGCCGCTTTCTAGGGATAAAAGCAAGGGGTCTTATCATGTGGATTGCCTCATCTTTTTTGTGGGTTAGAGAGTGCCAAAGGGGCAAACTTACTGGCACAGTTTGAAAAAATTCTTGGCTGGCCAGGTAAGACTACATTTCTAGAGGAGGTTAGTTTGGGAACTTGGTCTAAGTGACACCATTTTGAGCCTGTATTTTGTCTTTTTATTTATTTATTTTTTAAACAAACATAAAAACAAGGATTAAACTCTTTAAAAAGGATGGAGAATGAGGCCTGAAGAAAGGAAGCAACTTTCCCATAATCATTGGACAAGTAGAGACAAATTTTGGTTTACTTGTCTTCTTTCAGGGAATAATGCCATTTACTTGTTAATTTTCTACTTTAAGACTTACCTGTAGCAAATTAGAAACCTTTACTCTTACCTTTTTTCCTCATTCCCTTTCTAAGTTGGCCCAAGGTCATTATACTTCAAGCATTTTCAATTTTTAAGAATTGACTTTAATTTTAGCCTATGTATAGGGGCACGTGGGTTGGTCAGTCAGTTAAGCATCTGCCTTTGGCTCACGTTGTGGTCCCAGGGTCCTGGGACTGAGCCCTACATCAGGCTCCCTGCTCAGTGGGGAGCCTGCTTCTCCTTCTCCTTCTGCCTCTCCCCCTGGCTTGTGCTCTCTCTTGCTCACTCTCTCTCTCTCAAATAAGTAAATAAATAAATAAGTAAATACAATAATTTTAGCCTATGTATAATCAGTCAGAAGGCATACTTGATGCTGAAAGAAATCAGAATACTTTGTAAGACCAACTGTAACTACCTCTGTTATTAGCAATTGAGTTCATACTTGATGGCTTTTAAAGATTTTGCATCTTCTCACACTACATCAATAGCTAACATATCTTTTTGACATTTAACTATGTTTCTTATGAAATTTCTGCTGTTGTCATCTTGAATTTTTGCTTACATGTTTTGGATTTTGTCAGGTGCCTTTCCTATATCTGTTGATAATTGTATTTTTTTCCATATTCTTGTATTATGATGGTAGAATACATTGATTAATTCTTGAATGTTAATCCAACATTGCATTTTTGGAGAAAGCCCCTCCTGTTCATGAGGAATTATTCAGATTCAATTTGCTAAAATGTTTAAAGGATTTTTTTAAAAGATTTTATTTAAAAAAATTTTTAAAGTTTTTTAAAAAGTAGATAAATAATAAATAAAAATGCATAAATAATAAATAAAATATAAAATAAGTAAAGAGATTTTTATTTATTTGAGAGAGAGAGTGAGCGAGAGAGAGAGAGAGTGAGAGAGAGCAAGCATGAGCAGGGGAAAAGTAGAGGGAGAGGGAGAAGCAGACTCCCCGCTGAGCAGGAAGCCTGATGCTCTGGGACTCCAGGATCATGACCTGAGCCAAAGGCAGACGATTAACTGGCTGAGCCACCCTGGTGCCCCTGTTTAAAGTATTTTTGCATCTATATTCATGGGGGATATTGGTCTGTAGTTTTGTTTTCTTATAATCTGTTTGTCTGGTTTTGTTGTCAGGGTGATGTTGGCCATAACTAGTGATTTGGGAAGTGTTTTTTCTTCTGTTTCCTAGAAGAATATGTGTAGAATTGTGTGTAGAATTGGAATTATTTCTTAAATGTTTGGTAGAATTTGCCAGTGAAGCCATCTGGACCTGGAATTTTCTTTGTGGGTTTTGAACTAGGAATTCAGTTCTTGAATAGTTGTGGGTTATTGAAGTTATCTGCTTCTTGTTTGTTCATTTCATTTAAGAGGTTAATCTTTAATTTTAGCTATTCTCGTGGGTGTGTAGTGTTTTCTTATTTTAGTTTATAATTGCATTTTGATGATAAACATTTTTCATATCTTTATTGGTCACTTGTGTATTCTCTAAGAGGTGTAAGTTTGAGTACTTTTGACCATTAAAAAAAATAAACTATTTAGATTTACAGAACACTTGCAAAGATAGTTCAGAGAGTTTCCATTTGACTTTAATCTGGTTTCCCTTAATACAAACGTCTTCTATAACCATGTTACATTTGACATGGTACATTATCAAACCAAGAAGTTAACATTGATATATTACCATTAACTGGGGGCTTTATTCAGGTTTCACCAGTGTTTCCACTAATGTCTTTCTTTTAAATAAATCAACTTTATTTTACAACAGTAGTAGATTTATAGAATTATTACAGAGATCGTACAAAGAGTATACCTTACAGCCAATTTCTCCTGTTATTAACATTTACCTTCATGTTACAATTAATGAGCCTGTACTGATAAATCATCATTCACTAAAATCCATGCTTTCTTCAGATTTCCTTAATTCTCACCTAAAGTTCTTTTCTGTTCCAGAATCCCATGCAGGAAGCCATATTACATT